GACACACTGAGACTAAAATCACGGTTTAATCGATTAGCTTCCGGTTCAGATTTCCAACATTGGTAGTACGACTGGTTCACGGTTTAGCTAATATTTGATTCAAACTTTCTTTTATTATTGGGTTTGTATTTATATATGGAGAAGATCTCAACCCTTAAATAATAAAGAAAGAGTCTCCCAATCCGCAGATCTTAACCCTAAATTGTTTTTTTCTTTCTTTCTTCTCAAGTTTTCTCCATCAATGGTAATCGAGGAAATCCCCGTCGGCCTCTTGAGTATCCAGGAAAAGCGCGAAACATTCGCTAGTAAGATATCTATCTCTTGCTCGAAATTATATATATATATTTGGATCTGAAATTCATCGATCTCTCATGATAAACCAGAGGATCAATTGGTAATTCTTTATCCTTTCTTTGTCGCAGATGCTGAAACAGGCGTCTACTGGGACGTGGAGGATTTCCCAGTCACCGATATTTCTCGTTTTTGTAAGAAGATCAGATTAGCTCTTCGTAGAGCGGGTTATCATGGTAAAGTGTCAATTACGGCTTATGGTGACAAGAAAGAGTCTAGATATGAGGATGCGGGGATCACCTTTGTATCCAGAGGTGCTTTGTTTTTTTCTTTTCGTTMTTCTCTTTTCATATTACTTGTACATGTCTGTAATCTTTGTTTTGTTGCATTTACAGGCTCTAAACGTGCTAGAAATCATAGGATGTTACTGGACATTCATTGTTGGGCAGCGGAAAATCGTACTCTTGCACCAACAAACCTGATGGTAATMACTAAAAACATCATGCGGGATGAAGACGATGAAGACACTCAATTTGTCTGCTCTCTCGAAGATTTGCTTTGTTCAAGCTACAATGTTCTCTTAGCAGTGCCGGATGATTACCAACTAGAAAAGATACCATTTAAGTTGGACTCGGTATGGCTTTGGAGTGCACTACTTCGTGGAAAAAGTCATCTAGACGAGAGCCTAATAGTTCGACAACCACCACAGGAGGAGGTAGAGAGCGTTTGTCCTATGTGTGAAAAATAATGTTGTATCAGTCTCATGATCACTTCTCTCTTCAACTCTTTTGTGTATTGGTTTCATCTTCTATTTCTCTCTTGAATGCTTGCTGTTTGTACAATAATACAAGATAACCTATTAAATTACCAAATGCATAGAAAACCTGTTGTTATATGAGACTAGATTATCTGTGGGAATATGCACAACCTATTTCACATTGAGAAACAAGTGGATTGGATTATCGGTGGGATTATTATAACTTCCTTTGCATTGTGTGTTTATGAGTCTTTGTTTTTTCGCTTTTACATTTCTCAACTGTTAATGATTCGATCTATGCTGCTGTCATATCACAATTGTAAACAAACATAGTACTAGATTTGAGTGAACAAACGAATGCTTTTGGGTTTTGTGTCTTTCGTCCACTAAAAATGAGAATGAAAACCAAAGAAAGTTTTCCAATTTGACCCTACTGTACAAAATAAGCCAATCATTACATATTCAGAAAGCTATTGTCATTTGTGGAAAAGCGAAACTCGTTTCATACAACTTTCACTCTGTCTAATCATTGTATGCCTTCATCACCCTTGATCAAATACTAATTTATCTCTATGTGTTTTCATTAGAAGCCTTTATCGCTTTGTCTTCAATCTTGAAGGGTTTTCCACCTTGTTTCCTACTTTCAATTTACTTTTACTCTGAAATTCCCTCGTTCAATACTCCTTGGATTATGGGGGAGATTTTAATGAGATCCTTCACCCTCAGGAGTTGGTTCTTACACAACTCAAGTGATTGATTTCAAGGCATGCATTGACCAGCTAGAATGAGAGACTTGCGATATCAGGGTACTAAGTTTACGTGGACAAATAAGCAGCGTGTTGACCCT